GCGGGGAACTCTGCAAAAAACGCATCTTCGCACGGGCAGCCCGTGCGTTGGCCAATTTTTTCATTCCTTATTATAACTTTCTATTATCAAGGCAGTCGCAACTGCATTCCTCTTATCCTAGGCTGTAGTAGCAGCTGCTGAATGATTGCATTGAAATTTTTAGGCACTAATCGAATCAATGGAAGGCAAACAGGGCAAGCCACGTCTAAAGCCGCCTTTCCCAGCTGATATTGGCCTGTTCGGATGTCCGACCACGGTGAATAATGTGGAAACAATTGCATCGGCACCGGCAATATGCAAACGTGGTGCTGCATGGTTCGCTTCTTTTGGACGTGAACGAAATCATGGAACTAAGGTAACCAAGCTGTTAAATAATCTTGTATTGCTGATTTGTACCTCGACGACTACGAGGTTAATGAGCATCGAGGGAGGACAATCGCTGAAACTCCGATCATACATCAATAGTTTTTTGAAAAAAAAAAAAGTAAATTCCGAAATTTTGCAGTCATCCTAATTTGTAATACTGGGATAGACTGTAAATCATAGCTGGGTTAAATTTATTAGTTTAATTTCCAACTTTACTTTTTGTTGGGCCCGAGAGTTGAGTTGACGACGGCGAATACTGGGTAGTCGAAGTGACGCAAAAGGATAAGTCGATTTATCCACAACACAATATTAGCCAACGAACAATAAACCAACAAAAGCAGGGGTATTTATGCAGGGAGTAGAGCACAATAAAAAACACTAAATGACGTAACCCAATCTATATGCAGTCACAAAAACATTACAGGAAATTCTGCAGAACAATCTATAATAGAGATCTCCTTAGAACTTCCGAAGATCGTGATCAGAGATCATCGAGGTCTCAACACTTTTTATATATATTTGCAAAATTTTGTGTTTTTTATAACAAATATAGTACCATTTTGGCTAAATTTTGTTTTTGCCTTACCGTACTTTATATCTTTGGATTAAGATTAGGTGCTGTAATATGGTGCGGAAGCCACGTTATTCTATGGTAAAGCTCCCATTGTATTGGCTTTGTAGGCATTCAAGAACTAGCTCGAGGAAAGCAAATATCAACAGCACCGTCTTCCTGCGAGAGTTCCAATAATTCCCCCCCCCCCCCCCCCCCCCCCCCCCC